GAGGGAGGAGGGCGGGAGGTGTCGGTGATGGGTCATAAAAATCATATACAGTGTATATTGACAAAATAAAAATTTAAAAAAAAAAAAAAGAAAGTAGGCAGATTGGCAAATACAGAATCTGAGAATAATAATTGTACTAGTAAAATAATCATGAAATTGTATGTAGCCGATAACATAGCCTCAAAATACAGAAAGCAAAAACTGACATAACTACGTGGTAGAATCTACAAACCCACAAATTTAGCAGGAGGTTTTGATATACCTCAAAAACCAGTAGATAAGGCAGAAAAAAAGAAAACATCAGTAAGGATATAAAAAATCAGCACTATGTAATTTAACAGGCTTCAGGATGTGTATGTGTATGTACAAAATGTACACACGAAAGTACACATATGCAAACTCACAGATCCTGGTTTCTGACTAATAGAAAATATGCAGCAAAGTGTATATGCAACTGCTGAAAAATTAACTGTGTACTGGAACAAAAATAAACCTTCACTCCGTCCCAAAGGATCACTACCATCTGGAATATAGTCCTGACCATGTAAATAGATTAGATATCAACAGCAAAGAGAGGTAGTTGGCAACACCACCTGCATTTGGAAACAAAAGACCGTATTCCCCCAAAATAATACCTGCTCCTTATCACAAGCCAAACAGTACAGAGGTATGAGAAAAAGTTCCAGTGTGCACCTCCCCAGTGAGGGCCCCTGCCATGAGGGAACCAGCGTGCCAACTGGCAGTGGCCGTCTGCCACCTCTGTTCTCAGGCCCATGTGTGTGTGGGAGGTGGGTACAGTTCCACCAGCAGCAGGGGCATCTCTTGATAAATCGGCCACTCTTCCCTTTGATTGCAGATGACCATAGTGACCCCATGTGGACCAGATGAGTACCCGCATGAGAATCTCTGCTGCAAACTCTGCCCAGCTGGTGAGTCCCAGGACACCTTCCAGAGCCTTCTGGGGCTGACCTTCCGACCTGGAAGAAGGGAGGCCGCAGGCCCTCAGGGCCAGACTGAAGGTTGCCCTGGGAAGAGCACTTGGCCAGCTAGGGGTGGGTGGTCCTCTCCTGGGCAGCTACCCACCGTTTGCCCTCCCGTCCCACCTCGGAAGGGGTTTTCCTCTGCACCGCCTTCATGGGGAGCACCTGTGTGCAGAAAGGGGTTGTGTGCTTGTTCTGAGGGGGCGAGCTGTGTTCTGCAGGGGCTTGGATGACAGTCTTGGGGGTACAGGCCCAGGCGGGAGACTCCCCCTACCCCCCTTTTTTTTTTTTTTTTTTTGTCCTTTTTGAGACTGGCTGCACCGCGCTCAGCCAGTGAGCGCTGTGAGCGCATGGGTCATCCCTATATAGGATCCGAACCCGCGGCGGGAGCGCCGCTGTGCTCCCAGTGCCGCACTCTCCCGAGTGCGCCACGGGGTAGGCACCACTACCCTCCTTTTGAGAGGATCTTGGGCACAGCTGAGGACAGAGGCTCCTAGTGAGGAGGTGGCCTAATTTCACCCTCATGAGCATGCTCTGAAATTGGAATTAACCCCGTAAAGCAGGTGAGGAGCCAGAGGTCTGAAGAGGCTGCTGCGCCCACCCCACTTCCTCTCACCTAATGCCAGTGGCTGCCGTCAGCACCTGGGCCTTGCCAGTGAGCACTCAGAGGCCAACACATCTGCTCACTCCCCACAGACCTACACACACACACACACACACACGTACGCAAACACACGTGCACTCGTGCCCCACACTGTCAGTAAAACTGCCTTCACAAGTCTCCTCTTTTAAGGGGCCAACCAGTTACACCTATACCTGTCACCATCTTCTTCCCCCCGACTTACAGTCACACACCCCCCACATTTTATCCATGAACCCCTGCCTTCATGAGGCTCCTGTTTCAGAGACCAAACACCCACCCCTGGACTGCTCACCCCACACCCTCCCACACACGACTGCACACATACCTATGCACACGCACACCTATATGTGCATATACCTGCACACACACCTGTGCATACACACAGCTGCACAAACTGCATTTTAGGAAGGAATGAGACATAATTAGTCTGACATGATATCTGAACTTGGCATGTGTGGGGTGTGGGCAGTTAGGACCCCTTCTCCAGGAGGGCATGATTCAGCTCAGCTCCAGTCTTGGCTGTGGTTCTGTTGAAACCCTTACGAGGTGAGCACCAGACCAGGAGGGCAGCGTGGGACCTTGGGCCAGCCGTGACCATTTCTAGACCTCCATTGGGCCCCTTGGAGCTGCTGAGCCTGCCCCTGGGTGGGTAGGAGCCTGGGGTGGGAAGTGGGGATGGATGAGCAGGTGTCTGCATGCTTTCAGGTGGGCTTAGCATGCTGTCTGGAAACCATCCGCTTCCACGTGCTGCAGGACATTGGTAAAAGCCGAGGGGTGATTTGGAAACTCAGCTGCTGGGACACACGTGTGTTAAGTTTAGTGTGAGGACTGGGGCCAGGTACCAGTGCAGAATGTTCCAAGGAAGTTGGAGGTCTAGGGGTGGGTGGAGTGCAAGGGATCTGGCCACCACATGCCTCAGGGACAGGGATGGCCATGTCTGTGCTGGTGCAGAGCTGCCCTGGGCCCTGCCTCACCTCTGCCCCACCTCTCATGCAGGTCACCATGTCAGCAAACACTGCAGTGTGAACCATGGCATTGCAGAATGTGCAGAGTGCGAGTCCAGAACCTTCAGTGCCCACCCCAATGGCGAGACCACCTGCCAGTCCTGTGCCCTGTGCCGCGAGGGTAAGTGTGTGGTGCAGCCCTGTCACCGAATCATGGAGCACATTTCCCTTCAACCTGGCGTGCAGAGCCACTCTGGGGAAATGATCACAGATGTGCCAGGTGATCGAGCTACCAGCACCCCTCACACAGGGTTTGGTTTGGAGAAGAGTTGGTTAGGTTTTTCATTTTTATCATAATGATAGGTTTTTTTATATTTATCATAATGAGATACGTTTATGGTTAAAGAATCAATCTACAAATTATTAGGATTTTTTTTTCTTAAGATGACCGGTAAGGGGATCTTAACCGTTGACTTTGTGTTGTCAGCACCATGCTCACCAGTGAGCTAACATGCCATCACTATATGGGATCCGAACCTGTGGCCTTGGTGTTCTCAGCACCACACTCTCCCGAGTGAGCCACGGGCCGGCCCCCAAATTATTAGGATTTTTTTTTCTTAAGATGACCGGTAAGGGGATCATAACCGTTGACTTTGTGTTGTCAGCACCATGCTCACCAGTGAGCTAACATGCCATCACTATATGGGATCCGAACCTGTGGCCTTGGTGTTCTCAGCACCACACTCTCCCGAGTGAGCCACGGGCCGGCCCCCAAATTATTAGGATTTTTAAGACTATTTAGTAAAGTTGCTGTGTACAAAATTAATATATAAAAGTTCTTTGAAGTTTCTACATACCAGCAACAAATTGTTTTTTTAAGAATGTAATTTTTTTAAAAGGCACCATTTGCCTGAGCAAAAAAATAAATAATTTGGAATGGATCTAGCAAAGGCTGTATAAGATGTTTTTGTGAAGAAACAGCATTTAAGAGGATCTAAATATGTAGAGAAATGTGACAAGATTGTAAGTAAGAAGACTCAGTTCTTCTTCGTGTGGAATGGTCCTTAGATTCAGTGCATTCCTAATGAAAATCCCAGCAGGAATTTTCTTGAAATCGTAAGCTAATAACTTGCAGAACAGTGCTGAAGAATCAGAGCAAAGCAGCACACTGGTCTCTCGGACATCAAGACCTCATATAAAGATGCAATTAAGACCACGTGCTGTGCACACAGGGTGAGCCAGTGCACTGATGGGACAGAGCAGAGAGCCCAGAAAGAGACCCCACAGAGAACACGTGGCATGTGGCACAGTGGCCTCTCCATGCTCAGGAGAAAGGGTGGGATGCTCACAGTGGGTAATTGATTGTCCACTTAGAAAAAGTTCCAGCACAGGATGGGACTTTCTAGTGTCCCTACCTACTCCTGTACACAAAAAATGAATTCCTCGTGCATTAAAGTTCATATTGAGAAGTAAAACTTTAAAACTTTGGGAAGAAAACATAGAGAATATCTATGACTTTAAGGCAGCAAAAATTTTTGTACAAAGTGATAAAAATTACAAGCCATAAACAAGAAAATAAAAATTACAAACCATAAGAAAAAGACTGATAAATGTGACTACATGAGAATGATACATTCTGTTCATCATGAGACACCGAAACCCAAAAAGCTAAGCCGAGAAGTAAGAGAATATATTTATAATATGTGCAACTCACGCACAATCAGTATCCTGAGCATAAAGGATGCCTGTCAACCAATGCTGAAAGGGCTTGGCAAAAAGATTTTTTTTAGTGGGAGAGAAACAGACATTTCACAGGAGATGAAATATAAATGGTCAGTAAACACACACAAACATTGAAGTAAAGGAAAGATATACTATTTTATATCTGCTAGACTGATGAATTTAAAATGTTAATGCCAAGCGTATTAGCCAGGGACACGGAACGGTGGAGACTCAAAGTAACGGGAGACATGGGCATCAGCATGGCCACTTTGAAAAGCTGTCTTGGCATGACTAGTGCAGCTGGAAATGTGCCCGCGCTAAGCTCTACCCACTCCCCGTCCTGATCTGGACTGGAAAAGCTTCTGCCCGCGTGTAATAAGAGAGATGGGGCAGAGTCTAGTAACACACGACCAGAGCAACCCACGTGTCTGTTGACGAAGGAAGGGACAGGAGTGGGCATGTGGATTCCCAACGCGCTGACTGTACCACAGTGAGGTGGGCTGGGCATCCCTGCGACAACAGGAGGGTCTCACAGAGACGGCCATGCTTTTTGTCCTGCTCATGGACAGGACCCAGTAAACACATGTGGTTTAAGGATGTTGAAGAATGTGGTGAAATTGGTCCGGCCAGTTAGCGTGGTTGGTTAGAACCAGGCTTGTAGCACCAAGGTCAAGGGTTCCGTTCCTTGTACCTGCCAGCTGCAAAAACAGAAGAATGCAGGGAAGTTACCGAGAGAAAGCAAAGGCTGAACTCCCGGGAGTGGGGCTGGGGGCCTCAGGCGTGTGGTGCTGTTCTCGGTTTGAAGCTGGAGGTGCGACTGTGGGGGTCCTATTTTACTTCTATTTCTGTCTCACATATAGTTCTTTAAATGTGTCACGAGAAAACGTGCAGACGGGCAATGGCATCTGCCCTGTAAAGCTGTCCCCCAGTGTTTATGTTTATTTATTTATTTATTTATTTAGTCCTTTTTGAGACCAGCCGCACCGCGCACCGGTCATCCCTATATAGGATCTGAACCCACAGCGGGAGTGCTGCTGCGCTCCCAGCACCGCACTCTCCCGAGTGTGCCATGGGCTCGGCCCGTCCCCCAGTGTTTAAACCCCTGACGTCTGAGACGTCTGACAGGCGTGGTGCTGGGACCTGGTGTATCACGTGGCACGAGCTTGTGCAGGTGTGTGTGTGTGAGCACGCTGTGGGCTGTCTGGAGGGTGGTTAGCAGCGGGACTACAGGTACAGTCGCAGGGATTCGTCTGTGGTTGTCTTTCTCTGATGTTGTGTTCACAGAGGACACACAGTAGTGGTGCTCTTTTCTTATGGGGGAAAACAAGACGGAAGTAATGACTTGGGGATGTTTCTGAGAGTTTGGCCTGGTTATTTCCCCAGCTCAGATTGTAAGGGCACCCACTGGGCTCTCCACGAACACCCCAGATTGCAGGGGCACCCACCGGCCTCTCCGCACACACCCCAGACTGCAGGGGCACCCACCGGCCTCTCTGCACACACCCCAGATTGCAGGGGCACCCACCGGCCTCTCCGCACACACCCCAGACTGCAGGGGCACCCACCGGCCTCTCCGCACACACCCCAGACTGCAGGGGCACCCACCGGCCTCTCCGCACACACCCCAGACTGCAGGGGCACCCACCGGCCTCTCCGCACACACCCCAGACTGCAGGGGCACCCACCGGCCTCTCCGCACACACCCCAGACTGCAGGGGCACCCACCGGCCTCTCCGCACACACCCCAGACTGCAGGGGCACCCACCGGCCTCTCCGCACACACCCCAGACTGCAGGGGCACCCACCGGCCTCTCCGCACACACCCCAGACTGCAGGGGCACCCACCGGCCTCTCCGCACACACCCCAGATTGCAGGGGCACCCACCGGCCTCTCCGCACACACCCCAGATTGCAGGGAAGGTGTCTGGTCATTACCTTTCCTGGTTCCTGTGTTAGGAGAGTGGGTGAGGACAGATTCTATGCCCAAGATGAAGAGCAGGTGAAGGTGGCATTGCTGTGTCGTAGCCAAGTGTATGCGGGGACAGAGTCCCACCCCTGGTGACTGACCCTGAGCCTTCCTCTTTCACAGACCAGGAGGTGGTGGTGGAGTGCTCCTGGACCAGCGAGCAGCTGTGCCGCTGCAAGCAGGGCGTCTTCTACTGCGACTCTGCACACTGCACCGAGAGCTGCTTCCGCTGTAGCAGGTGCCAGCTGGGGGCGCGGGCGTGGGTCCCCAGTCTTCCACCCTCTGCTCATTTGGTTTTGGATCACTTATAACAGCGTCCCCAGCCTCAGTTTCCCCATCTGTAAAGGGGGGCTAATGGGTTAGCACATGCTGCATAGAGGTGTCCTGATGATTGAATGAAACAAGTCACTTGGATGTTTCCACCTGGTGGCCTGCCTGGAGTCAGTGCTCATTCATTCATTCATTTATTCATTCAACAAGTGATTCCTGAGCCACAGCAGCCTGCAGGTGGCCTTGCAGGCCTCGGGCTCCAGCAGTGGGGGACACAGACAGTCAAAGTGCACATGCAGTGTAAGACAAGCTCGCAATGAGTCCCTGAGGGACAGGGGGGCCATGCGGGGGACTGTTGTAGACGTGGCGGACAGAGCCAGTCTCTCTGAGGAGATGACCCCGAGCAGAGGCCAGATGAGTGACAGAAAGAGGGAGCCATAGAATGCTCTGGGGGAAGCGAGCTCTAGGCAGTGAGAATGGCAGCAGCGTGCCCCGGGCCTGGAGCAGGATGACCACTGCTACCGTAGGAGTTTCCCGCCGCTCCTGTTACCTGGTGACCACAGACTGCGTGACCTAAACAAAGACGTTGATTTTTTCACAGTTCTGGAGACTGGAAGTCCAAAATCAAAGGTCTCAGCAGGGCCTCGCTCCCTCCGAAGCCTCTAGCAGAGAATCGTTCCTCTCCTCTCCCAGTCCTTGGCGTTCCTTGGCTTGTGGCTGCATCTTCCCAATCTCTGCCTCCGTCTTCACGTGGCCTTCTCTCCTGAGTGTCTGCATCTCTCGATCTTTATGTGGCCTTCTCTCTGTCTATGGCCAAATTTCTGTCTTCTTATAAGGACACCACTCGTTGGGTTAAGGCCCAACCTAATCCAGTAGGACCTGATCTTAGCTTAATTACATCAATAAAGACCCTCTTTCAAAAGAAGGTGACATTCTGAGATTTTGGGTGGGCACTGATTTGGGGGAACATCTTGGAAATATATTTACAGTTATACAGCCACTTGCATAATAGCTCACATTTTTGAAGCATGTTATGGAGTTTTGAACAGAACTCAGACCACGTTGGACCGTCAGCTCATACACCTAAGTCCAAAGTAAGGATTGCCAAGTGGCCAGTCAGCTCCACTGTTTAGAGTGTGGTGCTCATGGCACCAAGGTCTGGGGTTTGATCCCTGTACTGGCCAGCAAAAAAAATAAAAAAGTAAAGACTACCTTCAGGTCGGGTTTGATCAAGGTACTGTCTTTCTCTTTATCCACTAGTTGGCTTCCTTCTCGGTAGAGATACGGCTTCAGTAGGTCCGTCCGAGAGAGAGAGAGAGAGAGAGAGAGAGAGAGAGAGACATGCCAGGCACTGATTGCCCAAAGTGTGACAGGGCCGACCCAGGACCTGGACCTGATCCCTCCTGACCCCTGCCCTGTGGGTGGTGATGAGGATGTTTAGGGCTGAGCCTGGGCAGGGAGAAGTAACGCTTGGGGTTTCCTCTCAGGTGTCCTGAAGACATGGCCGTCCTCCATCCTTGCAATGCCACGGCAGACACTGTGTGTGCCCAAACTAAAGCAGAGCCAGGTAAGGCTCCTAAATCCAGGTGAGCAAACCTCTTCTGAAAGGCAAATATTTCAGGCTTCGTGGGCCATGTGGCCTCTGTTGTCACACTCCACATCGTAGTAAAGCAGCCACAGACAGTAAATAAACGAATGCCTGTGGCTGTCTGCCAGGAAAACATTATTTACAAAAACAGGCCAGATTGGGCTCGTGAGCTGCAGTTCATGGAATCCTTGGGACTGGCTGCGGCTTCCCCGTTCCACTCCCGGAGCTGGGGCTGTGCAGAGTCCGGCCCGGCCTCCCCAGGTGGACGGGTGCTTTGGTAATTGTTTTTGAACTTGGGACACAAGCCATCCGTCTGTATTGCAGCTCTCTCCTCCTCTGTGGGTCTTTCAACTCAGTTTATGGTGTTGCTTGGTGGACCGAAGCTCTCAATTTTTTTTTTGTCATTTTCGTGACCAGTAAGGGGATCGCAACCCTTGGTGTGGTGTCGCCCTCACCGCGCTCAGCCAGTGAGCGCACCGGCCATCCCTATATAGGATCCGAACCCATGGCCTTGGTGTTATCAGCACCGCACTCTACTGAGTGAGCCACGGGCCGGCCTGTGGTTGCTGCTTTTTTTTTTTTTTTTTTTTTTTTTAAT